GCCTTCCCGCCTCCCCCTCACCTCAGGCCGGGCGTTCACCCCGCGTTCACCCCCCCACCGCCAATCTCATGGAAAATACCTGTTGATAATTATAAAATAAAAGATTTTTTTTTCTCTCACCCGCCCCCCTAGATGCCGCCAAGAAAAAAAAAAAAGCCCTTTATTTCTTTTTTTATTTTTTTTTCCAAACCACTAGTTCTCTCCGCTTGAAGGTGGAAGGTTAATGTGGATTGCAGCTTCTGAGGGACTAAAAAAAAAATGGATCTCGTTGACAATTGGCACATTTTCTGCTTGCAAGCAGCAGTAAAACTTCCCCACCAAATTTTTTTTAAAATCAGGTTAAATGATGAAGCTTTCCAGCATGCGCCTGCCATCAGAACTCATCCTTTTCACTGCAAGATATTCAGGTTTGCTCTTTCTGTTAATTCATATGAAATACACTCGAAAATTTTTGCAGATTTATCCCAACAAAACTGCCTGGGATCTGGACAATCTCTCATTAGGTGCACAGCCTGAGACCCGCCCCACATCAGACCCCCAGGTACATTTTACCAGCAGGCACTGTGAGATCTGATAGTTTTACTGCATGTGCTACTTAATGTCCATCCATGGCCTCGTACTGCTCCTAATGGCAGTGACGGCAAACACGGAGAGCCTGATCCTGCTTCTTGGAGATGGGGGCACACTCCTGGCCAGGGGCACTGACCCAGGCCCAGAGTGGCCGGGCCTGCAGAGGGAAGCAGGTAACACCTCCATCACAGAGACACCGAGCAATCAGATTATTTCCTCTGCATAAAGGAGAATTAAGGAAGAATGGGAAAAGAGGAGCAGCTTTTGAGCCCCCAGCTCATGCCTTGCTGCCTGTGCACTGCATGAAAGAAACATCTGAAAATTCTGACTGGTACCAGATGAAACACCGTTGTATTTTATTTCCACACCAAATACTTGACTCCAGTGATCCTGGTGAATTCCAGACTGACACTGACTGTCCTTACAACTGATCCATGCTCTGGTCTGTTAGAGAGGGGTCCTGAGAGCCCCAGGCTCAGAATTACACGCTCAGGGACAGAAGTTTCACACTGGTGCTTGTGATTACAACTGTGTAATTCTTCTTAGAGCCCTGAAAGGCTGCACTGGTAAACCCTCACCGTGTGAGTGAGAACTCTGCAAACCCAAAGCTCCACTTCCAGATTTGTAAATAACAGCCTTTCTGTTGAATCCTGGACGGGCAGCGAAGCCCTGCACACCACTCTGGGATTTTCCATCCTGTGGTTGTTTGCAGTCACACCAAGTGAGAGCGGAATGGGAGCACTCCGAGCTTGCCGTGCTTTTCACAGCTTTGCACCAAATCCACAAAACTGTGCTCAGAGCAACACTGTGAAGGACAAGATCCCCTGTTTTTTGCCTGAGTTTCATAAAGACAGCTTCAAAATATCCAATATTGCAAGAGGGATGTGGAAAAAGCCCTGTGAAGTTTGTTCTTCCTTCTGCACAAAGCACTGCGAGCAAGGTGTGGGGGCCAGGCTTGATGAGATGCTCAGGCTTGTGGGGCAGCATTGTTTGTGCTGTGAGCAGGAGCCCAGCAGTGTCAGATCTGGTATCTGATGTTTGCTCTGCAGTGTTCTGAGCACAGGCAGCAGTGGTGGCACGAGACACAAGATCCTGCTAAAGGACAAACTTGCTGCTTGGCCTCAGACTCTATTTAAGATGACTTTAGTCGGTTTTTTGGCACTCACGGCAGGGTAGGAAGTACCTGCAAATTCTTCCCATCTGCCATGTGCTCTGAGGGCTCAGTGCAGTTGTTCTGAGCCAGGTGTGGCCACAAGAACAAAACCACGATTGTGCTCAGGCCTGGGCTGGCTGCTCAGCAGGGTGACCACAGCGTGGAGCTCCCTCGGAGGGGCTGCCTGCGGTTTCACCTTGTGTGATGTGCCGGGCTGGAGTTGTGCTCTGCACACCCAAAGTGTGCCCGAGTGTGGCAGCTCCAGCAGCTCCCAGGCTGTGTGCACAAGCTGCAGTCCCTGCTCTGCAGCCTGATGGCTCGGCCGTGTTTGTTCACTGCCAGCAAAAGCAGCTCTTCATCTCCAAGTGGCCAAGTCACCGAGCAGGAAATGCAGCAGAGCCATTTTATCACACAGGTGACATTTGCAAGCCTTCTGCACACTAAGATGTAACTTAAAAATAAAGGTGTGAACTGCTGTTTTCCAGCAAGGGAGGATGGACAGGAAGATGTGTCTGTCTCTTCAGTCACCACAAGAAGCACTGATGATGAATTTTCCATTTCCCAGGTACAGCTGCCTCTTCTGAGTTGTGTAATATCTGCAACACTCACTCTGTCCCCCTCCCCTTTCTTCTCTTGGTATTTTCTCTGTTCCCTCTCCC